CATCAGAACACGACGGCCTGATCAGCAGAGTGCGCAGGATAAAGGTCAGAGGTCACTACTGATTTTATAGAGGCGCTCTGATGACTCAGCGGCGCTCTGATGACTCTCATGATTGTGTCCTCAGCACTTCGAGGCTCTGCAGGGTCGGGCCGACGGGAAGACGGCGTTCTACGAGGCTCTGAGTCGTTCTCTGGGCGGAGCCTCGGGAAACGCGATGCTGAAGGACGCGGCGGCCTGGTTCTACGCTCTGGACCACAAACCGTCAGCTGCTGGCTACAACCTGTTCTCCAGAGCGCTCAACAACGCCACCAGGTGACCATCAGGGCAAACTAAATACAACAAGATTTTGGGTTAATGAAGGTCAAAGGTCAGTGTCGGGAGCATTCCACCAGCACCATTGAGCTAATTTTAAGCTTAGCGTTTTGTTAATTCTGTACATGTTAATCAGAATTAAAGTTTCTGTAAACTGAATAAAGTTCAAGATTCGTGTTGAAGTCTAAGATTTCTTCAGGCAGTTAGCGCAGCTAGCTTTCAGTTAGCGCAGCTAGCTTTCAGTTAGCGCAGCTAGGTTTTGAGTTAGTGGTGTTCGGTTCTGGTGAGACGTGAGGTAGGGTTAGGGTTAGGGTAGTTCCTGCAGAGGAAGCAGCCTCAGCCGGGCTGATCCGGGTTCTGTGAGCAGAACCAGCTGACTGCACTGATAACCGTCAGTCTGTCTGGCTGCAGAGATCTGTTCATCATCTGTCCCGCCGTCCAGATGGCTCTCCACTGGGCTGCCAGCGGCGCCAACGTCTTCCAGTACCACCAGCCCGCCTCCAGTGCTCAGGACAGGTAGGGAGCCGAGGACCGGGTCAGAACATGGCCGCTGTTCTGTGTCCGGGTCATAACCGGACCTTTTCCTGCTTCCTCTCCACAGAGCTGATGTTTCGGTTCCTCTGGATGTTCAGTTCCTGTTTGGGATTCCCCTCCAGCCAATGAGCACCCAGCGTTTCACCTCGTCTGATCGGCGCCTCTCATTGGCTGTGATGACCTACGCCTCCAGCTTCATACGAACCGGGTCAGGGCAACGTCTGGATCGGGTCCGCCAGCAGCTCACAGACACTCTGACTCTTCCTGGTTCTGTTTCAGGAACCCTAACCCGTCCCGTGTGTGGGCGGAGTCAGTTCTGCCCCGCTGGCAGCCGGTCAGCGCTGAGGCTCCGCCCACCTACCTGGAGCTAAGCCCCGCCCTGCAGCATCAGCAGGGCCTGCGGCAGAACGCCTGCTCCTTCTGGAGGGAACTGGGATCCAGACTGACCAGTAAGACGGGTCGGTTCTGAGAGAATCTCTGCAGGGTTCAGGTCATTTCTTCTTCTGCTTCTAGCTTTCTGATCCTTCCTCCAGGTGACTTGGGCGGAGCCTGTCCAGATCCCAGAGCTGCCACTGGCTGCACCAACCAGCCAATCACAGACCAAAAAGGACGCCTACAACTGATGACATCATCAACATGGAAACCCTTACACCACATTTCCCATAATTCACTTTGATCAATGAGTTCCTGCTAATCATTTTGTTCCCAGTAATCAATAAAAGCATCTAAAACTGATTGGAGTTCAGTGATTGATTTATTTCCATAAACTCTGTTAAATTAAATATTTTTCCCTAGTTGGTATCCAGTAACCGAACATATAGGTTCCAAACCAACCAACTGAACCCAACCCAACCAACTGAACCAAACCCAACCAACTGAACCCAACTCAACCAAACCAACTGAACCCAGCCCAACCAACTGAACCAAACCCAACCAACTGAACCCAACCCAACCAAACCAACTGAACCAAACCCAACCAACTGAACCCAACCCAACCAAACCAACTGAACCAAACCCAACCAACTGAACCCAAACCAACTGAACCAAACCCAACCAACTGAACCCAACCCAACCAAACCAACTGAACCAAACCCAACCAACTGAACCCAACCCAACCAAACCAACTGAACCCAACCTAACCAACTGAACCCAACCAACTGAACCCAACCCAACCAAACCAAACCCAACCAACTGAACCCAACCCAACCAAACCAACTGAACCAAACCCAACCAACTGAACCCAACTCAACCAAACCAACTGAACCCAACCTAACCAACTGAACCCAACCAACTGAACCCAACCCAACAAACCAACTGAACCAAACCCAACCAACTGAACCCAACCCAACCAAACCAACTGAACCAAACCCAACCAACTGAACCCAACCCAACCCAACCCAACCAACTGAACCCAGCCTAACCAACTGAACCCAACCAACTGAACCCAACCAAACCAACTGAACCAAACCCAACCAACTGAACCCAACCCAACCCAACCCAACCAACTGAACCCAACCCAACTGAACCCGGCTGAGGAGGGACCTCCTCAAACCAACTGAACCCAGCCCAACCCAACCCAACCAACTGAACCCAACCCAACCAAAACAACTGAACCAAACCCAACCAACTGAACCCAACCAAACCAACTGAACCAAACCCAACCAACTGAACCCAACCCAACCCAACCAAACCAACTGAACCCAACCCAACCCAACCCAACCAACTGAACCCAACCCAACTGAACCCGGCTGAGGAGGGACCTCCTCAAACCAACTGAACCCAGCCCAACCAACCAAACCAAACTGAACCAATCGGTTATGAAGAATAGAAACAATCAGAACTATTAGCTTTTATTAATATGTCAGATCATAACTGATGAATGAATTTACAAACATACTTTAAGCCACCAGAGGGCGACACAGTCCTAGTCAAACAGAGAATAAAACCACAGAGGAGCAAAAACCAGCTGATGTCTGGAATATTCACAGTCATAAATTACATCTGAGTCTGAAAGAACAGGAGAAAATAAATAATTATGACAAATCATCCCTGAGAAACCTGCTGCACAGAAAACATAAAAATAAATGTCAAATATCAAAAGAAACTTTTCATGTTTAACAATGACCAGAATAAGAAGAAAAATGACAAACATTATAAAGTCAAACTGCTGCTTTTAAATATATAACTTTATGCATGTGACATATTCATGTAGAACATGAATTTTTCTGGAAAAGGTCAGAAAAAAAAGATTTATTATTTTAGAACATGTATTACCTTTAGAAATAAAACACTAAAAACGTTTTGTTTTTACTTTTTTCCCACTTTAGAAACTGAAAATAAAAATCAGCTTCCTGTTTAGGTTTGTATTGAATCAGTTGGTGGACCTAGCCCCGCCTCCGAGGCACAGCTCCACCCCCACTCTGCTCCTTCAGACTAGCCAGCAGAAATTAGCAAACAGCTGCTGAGCTCATTATAGGAGCTGCTGCTCAGAGCAAGGCTGGTAAAAATATTAAAGGGTTAATAGAGGAGCCATGTTGCAACGACTTCCTGGAGGCGGAGCTTCAGGAAAAGCAGGAGCCTCTTAAAGAGACAGAGGCCCAATTTTAAGATGATAAACCAGGAAGTCTCAATTTTTTGGACTCATCTTTGATATTTAGGTATATGATATTAACTGTTATATAGGTAACTGTCACTAGATTGTGCTGTAAAATGGTGCTACATGTCTGGACCTTTAAACCGAAACAATCTGACCGTCGAAGGATTTGTGGATCTGGACTTCACACTGAGTCATTGGGAACAGGATCTACTGGACCTACAGGTGAATGAAAATGGGTCAGAACTGCTGGGAAGTCCTTCATGACCAACCGATAGGGACCAAGCTGATTCTGGAGCCTCAGAACGGCCCAGACCCGCCACTGGGCTCCACGATGGGTCGGTCCGGACCCGTCCAGACCTCCGTCACGGGATGATGGTTTGGTCTAGACCCCCGTCCTCCAGGCTGCTCAGTGAGTGCATCGCCATGGATGTGTTTGTTCTGGTTCCATCGTCTGCGGACGGCAGGCGGTCGGACCCGGAGCCGGCGCTCCGCCGCCTCCAGAGGCGGACGGCGCCGAGCGCCAGGACCAGGATGCAGGCGGCCAGCAGCAGGGACACGACCACCAGCTCACTGTGGTAGCTCCTCTGGGTCGGTGCCTCCTCAGCCGGGTCCTTCATGGACCGGCTGTCCTTCCTGGAGGTCGGGACTATTGCCTGGTCGGAAATCGCATCACCTTTAGCCTGAGTCACGCGCTCCTCTGGGTCGGAATCGTTGGTGATGAGGGTTTCATGCTGTGGTTCGTCTGAAACCGGGATCACAGTCGGCTCCTCCGGGCTCAGGGTCGTCGGATCCCGGTTGACCTTCGACAGATGCCGAGGACCGGACGCTGGCCGGACGTCGTAGCTCGCCACGACCTCCATGACGTCGCCTTCCTTTGCCTGGCAGCGGTAGCTCCCGAAGGTCGCGGCGGAGGCCAGGAAGCGGAGGCTGCCGTCCGCTGCCTGGATGAAGAGCCGGTCCGGTAGAACCGCGCCGTCGGCGGAGCTCCAGCTCAGCACGGTGAGGTTAGACGGCTTCACACAATGAAGCGTCATGACTTCGTCCGGCTGGACGAAGACTTCTGCAGGAAAGAATGACGGACACCGGTGAAGGTTCCCCTAAGAGCAGAATCTGTTTGGTAATCTGGATGCTACCTTGGTGCTGCAGGATCTGCTCTGCCGGCAGACACTCGCTCCCTGAGATCCCCTCCAGGGCTTGAACTCTGAGAAACAAACACGGCCATGTTTTACTGCCTCCTGCAGCAGCTTTCACTTTTTACAGTCGGCTGGTCGACTGCTTCTGGCTTCAGGACTTTGTTAAATAAAGTCTTTTAGGATGAATTATTTTTGTTAGTTGCAGCAAAAGCTTTTATAAAAATTATTTAAAATGTAACAATACACCAAAATACTACAGGCTGTTTAAGTAAATTAAATATTGTTACACAGATGTTGTCATTTTGTTTACGTCGCAATGCATCCTGGGTGAATGAAATCCGCTAGGTCAGGGGTCCCCACGGCGGGTCCCTGAGGGACGGCGTCCTGCACGGTTCGGTCTGTCTCTGGGTCCAATGATGGCTCGTTAGAGAAGAACATTGACGTTCTGAACAGGTTGTTGGTTCCACCAAGGAGAGACTAGAGCACGCAGGATACCGGCCCTCAGGACCCACTTGGAAGCTAACAGCGTTAAAAGCTAATGGCATTAGCTGAAGCTGACAACGTTTAAAAGCTAACGGCGTTAGCTGAAGCTAACAGCGTTAAAGCTAATGGCATTAGCTGAAGCTGACAACGTTAAAAGCTAACGGCGTTAGCTGAAGCTAACAGCGTTAAAAGCTAATGGCATTAGCTGAAGCTGACAACGTTAAAAGCTAACGCCGTTAGCTGAAGCTGACAACGTTAAAAGCTAATGGCGTTAGCTGAAGCTAACAACGTTAACAGCTAACGCCGTTAGCTGAAGCTAACAACGTTAAAAGCTAACGGCGTTAGCTGAAGCTAACGGCGTTAGCTGAAGCTAACAACGTTAAAAGCTAACGGCGTTAGCTGAAGCTAACAACGTTAAAAGCTAACGGCGTTAGCTGAAGCTGACAACGTTAAAAGCTAACGGCATTAGCTGAAGCTAACACAGTAACCGATCTCTTCAGTTCGTTTCTCTCAGTCCAGAAGTTTCTTCACCTTCCAGGTTTTATTTGTTGCTCAGGTGAATAAATTATAACCTGATCAAAATGTCGTCACGTTTAGAATAAAGGCCATTTTGTGACAAAAACAAAATTTTGCCTGAAACATCTTTTTCAAAGAATAAGTTAGTAATTATTGATTGATTTGTGTTTATTCATGTATTTGTTTATTTTCAAACATGATTTTGGTCATTATTTTGAAAAGATGACGTTTTTCAGTAAATATGAATCAGTGAAAACTGCTTCAGGTTAAAAACTGACTTCATATTCAGGCCAACATATAATCTCACATATGAGAGGAAAGTTGTTTGTTCTGAACCTTTTTGATGAACATCAGTTCTGAACTTATTAATATTAACTGAAACATTCGGCTGTTTTCCTCCCACTCGGCCAGTTCCTCCAGTTTATTGATCGTTTCTGAGGTTCTGGGTGATTAAGATCCACTCACACGTCGTCATCGGCGCCGTCCAAACCCGTGCAGGTCTTGCGGGTCGGACTCCAGCCACACAGCGGATCCCTGGCCAGGATGCACTGCCAGCAGCTCCGGTAGCTCAGACACCGGGCCACCGGCACCGCCGTCACGCCCTCCGAGGTTCCCACATACACGAGTCCCTTCAGAACCAGAACCACAGCGTGAACCGGGTGAACCATGCGGGTGGAGCAGGTGTTGTGCTGTGAGATCTACCTTGGAGGAAGACAGGATCATGCTTTTGACCCGCTGAGGTTCCCTGAACACTTGGATCTCCTCGACGACTCGAAGGCCCTGATCCGAAGGAACCGCCTTGTGGAGGAACCCGGACTCTGGATGGAGAAGGAATGATTTTGATCAAGGTCCGGTTCAGAACCTCTGATGGCACCGCAGCACACAGAAACAGCTCAGATGATATTAAAGAGCTACAGCAATGCATTCTGGGTACAGAATAAACATCAGTTGCTGCTATGCAACGCATGGGGAGGAGCTCACTCATTCACTCACTCATTCACTCATTCATTCACTCATTCATTGGTTTGTACTTCCCACTTGCTCTGTAAAGTTTTTGACAAAAAACATGAGAGGAAACAGAACTGCTGCACAGACAAACTTCAAAATAAGAGCATGAATACAAACGTTGAAGTTAGACGCTTAAATCTATTCAAGTTTACAAAAACGACTCTGGAAAATGTAGCTTAGAGGAAGCTAAGTGTGCTAACCAATTTCAAGGTTAGCAAAAACACTGAATGCTAAAGAAAAGATTAGCCTAGCTACCAGCTGATTAGCAGGAATGTTCAGAGTCTTTTAGAAACTTAAGCCCAGTTCTTTTTTACCACTTAGAGTTCAGCGTCTCACCGGTGAGGAGAAGCAGGACGTCGTACTGTTGGCTGTTGGCCGCCATCGCCTTCATCACGACCAACCGACTGTATTTCTGCCCAGGAAAAACAAGAACTGGTGCAACTGGATTCACGTTGCTGCTGGTCAGGAAGTTCATCTTCACCTCAGAGAGCTGAGAGTCGGAGGAGTTTGAGAGGCCGCACTGTCAGGAGAACGAGAAGCAGCGATATGAGGCAGCGCCCAAAGAATGGATTCACAACTATCCCAATGTTCACTTATTACCATTCAGAATCAATTTAAATGTCCCAAAATCAATAAAAAGAATCATAAAATCCACCGTCTGCTGGCCTCCGACCCTTTAACGTCACCACGGTACCGGACCCGAGCATGAGTAGAAAGACCAAAACAAACCTCAGAAATGAAAGAGTAGTTCCTTCATTTGAGGCAAACATTTGGACTCAGTTGGTTTTTTTCTAAGTCAAGTCGGACATGAGCTTCACTGCGAGCAACGTTCACAAAATGAAGAACTGCAGGGAGACCGCTGAACTTTGACCTGTTTCATCCGGAAATGTCCACATTTCTGGCTAAACGACTACAAAGCCTGAAGGAGACTGAAGACTCCTGCAGTGAAGTGCAGCGTCTGACAGGTGGCAGCTCAACGTTAGTTTGTGTTTTTATTGACCTGCAGATTGAACTCAGACAGGATGGAAGCAAGCGAAGCCCAGATTGACCTCCATCTGCTGAACCTGCTATCAGGATGTTCTCACCTGTCCCAGGTATTTTCGTCCCACTGGGTGTTTCAGTCGATACGTTTCCTTCTCCAGGGTCTTAAAGGTTCCAGCAAACACGTCTCGGATGTCCTTCAGCTTAAAGGTGCAAACCGCAGACTCAGGCCGCCTGGACCTGAAAGCCAGGTTCTGGTGTTAGCCGGGTCAGTAAAAGCACCGCCATCAGGAATGAGACGGAGCCTCACCACTGGGAGGTGAAGACACCATAGAACAGTGTTTCTGAGGCGTCGGCGCCCTCTGGTGGCTGCAGGGTGAACATGTCCTCCAGGATGTTGAAGGGAGGCTGTTGTGGCGGCTGGCAGAGCAGAGCAGACTTGGCAAAGGACGTCCACTTCTTCTGCAGAATCCTCTGTCCTCCAACGTCGTCCTGTGAAACCGGCAGAGCGTTATTATGTGTGGTCCGCCGTCGGGTCGCTGCTCTGCGCCTCCAGAACCTTGCAGACTTGAGCCACTCTGGGAATCTGAAGCTCGTCGACGAAGCTGAACTCCTTCCCGATTTCAGAAAAGAAGAAGTAGAGTTTCTGTCCTGCCGGGTCCAACGACGCGCTCACAAATCTTGGCTCTGAAAATGCAGGAAGTGTTGACTGAAGATGAAACTCAGATGCTCATCAGCCAGATGTGAAACTTCAGCAACGTTAAAGGGTTTACTCAAACCTCTGCTGTTGGCCAGTCTGTGCACAGGATGTGTCAAAATGAGAGCAACATTTTTCAGAAACATTTACGACACAAAGAGGAACCGAGTCACTCCGGCTGAAATGAGGAACTATGATCTCACATTAAACCCACTTTTGTGAGGTTTTACAGAAATTAGGTCATGTGGCACAGATTTCTGAATGACCAAATATGACAGTTTCTAATGTTTACGCTAAATTATAATACTTTCTAAGATGACTGAGTAAATCTGCTAACAGGGGCTGAGAGGACAGATTTCTGAATCGGACTCTTTCTGTGAGCTTGTCTGCCAGGATCCGGGACAGAAACAGAGAAACTCCAGAGGTTTCATCCACTCACCTCAAGTAAACTGATGGAGGAGTCCAGGCTGATGTCTGGGCGGCCATCTTTGCTGAGGAATCGTGAAATTTGTGGTTTGCTTCCCCTGAAGTCGGTGGTTGTGGCAGCAAAGAGTTCCTGGTCTGGAAGACAAAAGAAACTCTGAACACTGAGGCATGGACCCCTGCTGACTGAGGCCTGCTCTGGTTTATGAGGAGACATGGAGCAGGAAGGGCCTCGGGGCCCCTGGACGCCGGGGCCCTTTACTACTTCACTTTACTTTTTGTAACTCATAGATAGGATTTCTAGGCACAGGGTTAGGGCCAGTCAGGATCAGTGGATTTCATCTCTTGCCTTTTGCTGAAGTCATGCATCTTTTTGGCTTTCTGTGGCCAAGACCTGCAGATCCCGAGAGACCGATCCAGAGAGACCGATCCAGAGAGACCGATCCAGAGAGACCGATCCAGAGAGACCGATCCAGAGAGACCGATCCAGAGAGACTGATTAGCTCCACAAAGTCGGAGACAAAAGGCTGACTTGTCTTCTCCAGCTTGGAGGGAAGTTCCTTCCTCAATAGAAGACTTCAAGTGTTTGGGATCTTGTTCACAGATTTCTCGGTCATAACATTTGGATCATGATTAAAAGAAGGAAATCTTGGGTACAATAAATAAGTTTCCTCTTCACTCTGGGCTCTTCTTCAGAGAAAGGGTGAGGAGCTCAGACATTCGGGGTCTGGAGTAGAGCTCCTGCTCCTTCACATCGAGAGGAATCAGCTCAGGTGACTCTGGCGTCTTTCTGGATGCCTGGTGAAGGAGACGTTTCCCTCCAGGAGGAAACCAAGGGGATGAGTCAGGACACCTGAAGGACGATGCGTCTCTGCTGGTCTAGGAACGCCTGGGTCCTGAGGAGGGCTGGATAAGCAGATGATGATGGTGAGTTTAATTAGTCCATTCTTCGGTGGTTTCCTACGAAGAGAAGCTACAGCATTCCATAACAGCAGGTGAAGGGAAAGTTATCAAGCTCATCAAAAACTTGAAGAGCTTCAAGAAGGTCCAGTAACTCCAGAACCGTCAGGTCAAGAGGGGATCGGGGCCACAGCGCTTGTTTACTGGTCTCACTGGACGTCTTCCAGGGAGACCAGAGTCCAACAGAGGACTGTCTTGGTCCAGTCCGTGTGTGGCAAAGCTTCTTCCTGACTCTTCTTAAGTTTTCATAGACTTTAGATAGAAACTGCACTCAACATGTTCTGCTGATAATATCCATAAAACATCTGTGTAAGCTGCCCTGTCTGCAGATCTTTATGTTAATATAAAACTCAAACGAACCAATGACGACCGTAGAGCTGCGTTCAAACGGACTGAACGGACAGCGCCCTCTAGCTTCGTCCTGCTGGACCACCAACAGTCTCTCCAGGTCCTGCAGGAGACAAACAGAAGCCGTGACCTTCTCTGGTCTCGTGACTGCTTCCACCCGGCCTTTCCAAAGAGACCAGGACTCACGATGAAGGCTTGCTGAGGGTTGTAGGCGTTGCTGCCGCAGACGTACAGGTGGGTGGAGTTCATTCTCTGAACAACATGGACAAAGTTTTGACAGTCGACCTGCAGGCAGAAAGGAAACAACACAGATGAACGTGGAGCAGATGTTACTTTGAACAGCTGAAGGAAAGTGTTTGGCTGATGGACCAAACTCTTAAAACCTCCAGATGGTCTCTGCTCAATGTGAGCCGATGAGGATCTGGGGGAAGGTTTCGATCCCCGGTTCTGGATCGTCTGTTTGGTTTTCATGTTGAATGACTGAAAAGACTTTCTGAGGCTTTGAGGCTGGAGGTACTCCAAGTGTTGAAGGGCAAAGGAGGAGATTTGAAACTCCTCTTGTAGGTTTTGAATCATCTTTGGTTAGTGAAGTGCTGGAGTATTTTTCACCCTGAACAACCACAGACCATCAGTTCATGACAAACGGACAGTTTCTCACACCTTGTGAACTTCTCTTTATGAAGAAATGTATCATTTCTATCTGTGAAAAATATCTTAAAAATACACTGAGTTCCAGCTGTAATATGGAGTTCCACAGGGTTGTGTGTTTGGCCCAGTTCTCATCTACTACGCAGACGAAGCTCGGCTGCAGATCGGACCAGTTAAATCATGGTTTAGTAAAACTCAGAGTGCTTCCTTTAACTCTCAAATAAAACCCGAATCTAGGACTTTTCCACCCCTCATTCTGGAGAACCAACCCAACCGACCAGCTCCTGATCCATTCTTGCATTTCTCTGTTTTTCATGTTGCAGTTAAAACATTGTAATAAGATCATTTCAGGGTTTTCTCTGCCATCAGATGGGTTCTGGGTGGAATCGGACCAATCGGATCCCCGTTACCTCCGGATCCTGCCCTTTGTACGCGCAGTCTCCTCTGTCTCTGTCGGACGGACTCCATGTCACCTGAACACAACAAACACCAGAGTGAGAAAGCAGGAAGAGCCGGACGCCTTCACCTGGACGATCCGGGAGCTCACCTTGCTCCTCAGGCTGATGACATCACTCCGGCTGACATCCAATAAGAGGATGGCATTTCGAGCTCCAACGTAAAGGGTGGAGCTGTCGTTGCTAAGCAACAGTGTGGTGGTGTTGCTGACGTCTGTGAGGCTGAAGTGAAGCAAAGGTCTTTCTGGTGAGTCTGAGAAGAAACAACACGACCGGGTGGTCTGATGAGCCAACGGTTCTTCAGAACCTGCAGCCGGCGCCGCTAGTTAAACAGCTAGCTGCGCTAATCATCCCAAAGCGCAGCTAGCTGCGGTAATCATCCCAAAGCGCAGCTAGCTGCGCTAATCATCCTAATCATCCCAAAGCGCAGCTAGCTGCGCTAATCATCCCAAAGCGCAGCTAGCTGCGCTAAACATCCCAAAGCGCAGCTAGCTGCGCTAATCATCCCAAAGCGCAGCTAGCTGCGCTAATCATCCTAATCATCCCAAAGCGCAGCTAGCTGCGCTAATCATCCCAAAGCGCAGCTAGCTGCGCTAATCATCCTAATCATCCCAAAGCGCAGCTAGCTGCGCTAATCATCCCAAAGCGCAGCTAGCTGCGCTAAACATCCCAAAGCGCAGCTAGCTGCGCTAATCATCCCAAAGCGCAGCTAGCTGCGCTAATCATCCCAAAGCGCAGCTAGCTGCGCTAATCATCCCAAAGCGCAGCTAGCTGCGCTAATCCATGGTGCTTAGTGCACGCTAATCCGAAAGCACTAAGGTCAGCCATATTGATAGCCACCATGTCGATGACACAACATGCAATACAGTGTGGCATAGCGCCCTCTACAGGTTCCAATTTGTCATTGCACTTGTAGGTTTTTTGCTTCAGGAACTGATTCTTTGGTTCATTTCTGTTTAGTGCCACTAACTGCTGCTGATTCAGTAGAACAGCAGGAGGTTTTTACTGTTTGCTGCAATGCATTCTGGGTACTGAATAAACACATCACAGGTGGAGAACCTGAGGAGTTTTGAGATTTAAACAAATGACTTTAACAATGAGGCTGTTTCATATGAAAATAACTTTTATATGTTGCTAAGCTTTTTAACTGAAGATCGACCGGAAACCAGATCAAATCTGAAACGAGTTTGTCTCATCAGACGTTTAGTGGAAACTTTTAGTGGGCGTTGAGACGAAGTGGTAAAGATCGGATCTGAAAACCATCGCTGACCTCCGGTCTGTTCCACTGACGTCTGAGACTCAGACGTGGATTAAAGGTGATCTAAAAACAGGCCAAGAGAAGAAACGTCGGTTCGTCTGTCAGCTGACTCCTTCAGCGGCAGCTTCCTGTTTCTGGGGTTCTGCTCAGACAGGATGTGGGTCAAAGTGCAGAGACGCGCTGCTTCGTCTGAGCGCCTTTAAATAATCTGGAAATTTTATCTCACAGGAAACAAAACGGCTCTAAGTAATACCATAAAAATCAAAGACAGTAAAAAACAAATATTGATAAAAGTCTGAAGTTTACGGAGGAACCGTGAACGTCTCAGACCTGGACCCGTCTCAGACCTGGACCCGTCTCAGGTCTGGACCCGTCTCAGGTCTGGACCCGTCTCTGGCCTGGACCCGTCTCAGACCTGGACCCGTCTCAGGCCTGGACCCGTCTCTGGTCTGGACCCGTCTCTGGTCTGGACCCGTCTCAGACCTGGACCCGTCTCAGACCTGGACCCGTCTCTGGTCTGGACCCGTCTCTGGTCTGGACCCGTCTCAGACCTGGACCCGTCTCAGGTCTGGACCCGTCTCAGGTCTGGACCCGTCTCTGGTCTGGACCCGTCTCAGACCTGGACCCGTCTCAGGTCTGGACCCGTCTCAGACCTGGACCCGTCTCAGACCTGGACCCGTCTCTGGTCTGGACCCGTCTCAGACCTGGACCCGTCTCTGGTCTGGACCCGTCTCTGGTCTGGACCCGTCTCAGACCTGGACCCGTCTCAGACCTGGACCCGTCTCAGGTCTGGACCCGTCTGTGACGGTGCGGTTCTGGTTCTGCTGGATGTTTTCCTTAAAAACAGAGTCAGCAGTTCTCCTCCCTGAGGAACGCCTGGTCAGAGGTAAAGGAAGTTGATGTCATCAACAATGTTGCACCATAATAATTGATCTTAGTTGATCATTTTAATAAATTAGTGGTTTCAGTTTGATAAGGATTTAATCTAGAAATCAATAATCTAACTGGTCTGCAAAGCTTTTTTGTTCCCTAATATTTGATAAGCTGCTTGTCTGATAAACGTATTGAATTTAAAGTCGTGATTAAACACAGTAAGTTTTAAAATGAGTTGAAAAGCTTTCGGGTTTCATTTCCAGCCGTCTGAACCGGTTTGGTTCTGAATCTTTATCAGAGCATCAGGAATCATTAGCTCATCATAATAATGAGCTAATGAACATATATTTAAATATAAATGTTCAAATATCTTGAGCAGCTGTGGTCATTTTGGTTGCTGTAGCGACTGCAGATGTTTTTCGTGCAGACTTGCCTCCTTTAAAACCAGTTTGATGAACCACATCCTGGTTGTTGGTCGTTTCAAGGAGCCAGACACGCTGAGCGCGGCGGCCATTTTGATGACTCGGTTCTGGTTTGTCTTCAAACCTTTCCAGTATCGGACCCTGAAGTGTTTCCGTGCGTTGCTTCTGGATCCGGCAGATTCCTCGTTTAAACCGTGAAAACAAACCGACGGCGGCGCGCTTCTCCTTCTCTGAACTTCCTGTCTCATCAGCAGAGGCGGTTCTGGTTCTGCTGGATGTTTTCCAGTGGAGAGGAAGTGATTCCTGTCCACTGTCGCCACATGCTTGGTCAGGAGAGGAGAACCAGAAGCGCTGCTGACTGGATTGTTCTGGACTGAATAACCTGTTGTGCTGATTAAATGAACTTGAATTGATTAAAATGTGACTTCAATTCAAATGAATGTAAAATGTTTGCATGTTTTGGCTTCAGCATGGTGAGAACGCCTTCATTCCTCTGGGAAATGACCGCAGAGCTGGACCATGAAACGGGGCGTAGCAGCACCATTATTCACCCTGGACCCAATCCTGGAAAATAACTTCTGTCATTTTTCTGATCAGATGTTCTCTGACCCAAACGGCGGAACCATCAGAACTGATTCTGATTCTGCAGGAAAATGTCAGAGGAAGAGAAACACTGACATTCCTTCATCCTCTGGTCTAAAGCAGCAACCTGCCGATCAGAGCCCATCAATAATCATTCAGTTGGCGACTTACTGAGCAGGAAGGAGATCCGAGGAGGAAGAGCGTGTGTGGAGCCCAGCAGGCTGAGGAAGAGGAGGGCGAGCGAAGAGGCCATGCTGCAGGTCGGGTCGGGTCCGGCGCGCAGAGCAGCAGCGCTCAGAGTGACGATCAGAACGGCCGCAACTTCCTCCCCTCAGTCTGAGGTCAGAGGCGACGAGGAGGAGGAGGAGGAAGAGGCTCCAGGATGTGATGAAATGCAGCAGATAACGCGCCGCCGATGCTTTCAGGAACTTTAAACACGCCTCTCTGAAAACCACTTAGAGAAAGGAGGAGGAAGTTCTGGTCCGGGTCCAAACTCCTCCTCAGATTTACACACAACTTAGAGACGAAGCAGCAGAAAGGAGGCGGAGTTTCATCTTCTGCAGAAAATCAGGAAACAATCAGAGGGAGATTGAGGAAACCGCTGCAGCCAGAAGGAGAAGATGTGGATCTCCTGCTGAGGACGGATGGAGGGATGGAGGGATGGAGGGATGATGGAGGGATGGAGGGATGATGGAGGGATGATGGAGGGATGGAGGGATGATGGAGGGATGATGGAGGGATGGAGGGATGATGGAGGGATGATGGAGGGATGGAGGGATGATGGAGGAATGATGGAGGGATGATGGAGGGATGATGGAGGGATGGAGGGATGATGGAGGAATGATGGAGGAATGATGGAGGGATGGAGGGATGATGGAGGGATGATGGAGGGATGGAGGGATGATGGAGGGATGATGGAGGAATGATGGAGGAATGATGGAGGGATGATGGAGGGATGATGGAGGAATGATGGAGGAATGATGGAGGAATGATGGAGGGATGATGGAAGGATGATGGAGGAATGATGGAGGAATGATGGAGGAATGATGGAGGAATGATGGAGGGATGATGGAGGGATGATGGAGGAATGATGGAGGGATGATGGAGGGATGGAGGGATGATGGAGGAATGATGGAGGGATGATGGAGGAATGATGGAGGGAAGATGGAGTGATGGAGGGATGATGGAGGGATGATGGAGGGATGATGGAGGAATGATGGAGGGATGGAGGGATGATGGAGGGATGATGGAGGGATGATGGAGGAATGATGGAGGGATGATGGAGGGATGATGGAGGGATGATGGAGGAATGATGGAGGAATGATGGAGGGATGATGGAGGGATGGAGGGATGATGGAGGAATGATGGAGGGATGATGGAGGGATGGAGGGATGATGGAGGAATGATGGAGGGATGATGGAGGGATGATGGAGGAATGATGGAGGAATGATGGAGGGATGATGGAAGGATGATGGAGGGATGATGGAGGGATGATGGAGGAATGATGGAGGGATGGAGGGATGGAGGGATGATGGAAGGATGATGGAGGGATGATGGAGGGATGATGGAGGAATGATGGAGGAATGATGGAGGGATGATGGAAGGATGATGGAGGGATGATGGAGGGATGATGGAGGGATGATGGAGGGATGATGGAGGGATGGAGGGATGATGGAGGAATGATGGAGGGATGATGGAGGGATGATGGAGGAATGATGGAGGGATGATGGAGGGATGATGGAGGGATGATGGAGGAATGATGGAGGAATGATGGAGGGATGATGGAGGGATGGAGGGATGATGGAGGAATGATGGAGGGATGATGGAGGGATGGAGGGATGATGGAGGAATGATGGAGGGATGATGGAGTGATGGAGGGATGATGGAGGGATGATGGAGGAATGATGGAGGGATGATGGAGGGATGATGGAGGAATGATGGAGGGATGATGGAAGGATGATGGAGGAATGATGGAGGGATGATGGAGGGATGATGGAGGAATGATGGAGGGATGATGGAAGGATGATGGAAGGATGATGGAGGAATGATGGAGGGATGATGGAGGAATGATGGAGGGATGATGGAGTGATGGAGGGATGATGGAGGGATGATGGAGGAATGATGGAGGGATGATGGAGGGATGATGGAGGAATGATGGAGGGATGATGGAAGGATGATGGAGGAATGATGGAGGGATGATGGAGGGATGATGGAGGAATGATGGAGGGATGATGGAAGGATGATGGAGGAATGATGGAGGAATGATGGAGGGATGATGGAAGGATGATGGAGGGATGATGGAGGAATGATGGAGGAATGATGGAGGGATGATGGAGGGATGATGGAAGGATGATGGAGGGATGATGGAGGGATGATGGAGGAATGATGGAGGAATGATGGAGGGATGATGGAGGGATGATGGAGGAATGATGGAGGGATGATGGAAGGATGATGGAGGGATGATGGAGGGATGATGGAGGAATGATGGAGGGATGATGGAGGGATGGAGGGATGATGGAGGATGATGGAGGAATGATGGAGGGATGATGGAGGGATGATGGAGGGATGATGGAGGAATGATGGAGGGATGATGGAGGGATGGAGGGATGATGGAGGAATGATGGAGGGATGATGGAGGGATGGAGGGATGATGGAGGAATGATGGAGGGATGATGGAGTGATGGAGGGATGATGGAGGAATGATGGAGGGATGATGGAGGAATGATGGAGGGATGATGGAGGGATGATGGAGGGATGATGGAGGAATGATGGAGGGATGATGGAGGGATGGAGGGATGATGGAGGAATGATGGAGGGATGATGGAGGGATGGAGGGATGATGGAGGAATGATGGAGGGATGATGGAGGGATGATGGAGGAATGATGGAGGGATGATGGAGGGATGATGGAGGAATGATGGAGGAATGATGGAGGGATGATGGAGGGATGGAGGGATGATGGAGGGATGATGGAGGAATGATGGAGGGATGATGGAGGGATGATGGAGGGATGATGGAGGAATGATGGAGGGATGATGGAAGGATGATGGAGGAATGATGGAGGGATGATGGAGGGATGATGGAGGAATGATGGAGGAATGATGGAGGGATGATGGAGGGATGATGGAGGAATGATGGAGGGATGATGGAGGAATGATGGAGGAATGATGGAGGGATGATGGAGGGATGATGGAGGAATGATGGAGGAATGATGGAGGGATGATGGAGGGATGATGGAGGAATGATGGAGGAATGATGGAGGGATGATGGAGGGATGATGGAGGAATGATGGAGGAATGATGGAGGAATGATGGAGGGATGATGGAGTGATGGAGGGATGATGGAGGGATGATGGAGGGATGATGGAGGAATGATGGAGGAATGATGGAGGGATGATGGAGGGATGATGGAGGAATGATGGAGGAATGATGGAGGGATGATGGAGGGATGATGGAGGAATGATGGAGGGATGATGGAGGAATGATGGAGGGATGATGGAGTGATGGAGGGATGATGGAGGGATGATGGAGGAATGATGGAGGGATGATGGAGGGATGATGGAGTGATGGAGGGATGATGGAGGGATGATGGAGGAATGATGGAGGAATGATGGAGGGATGATGGAGGAATGATGGAGGAATGATGGAGGGATGATGGAGGGATGATGGAGGGATGATGGAGTGATGGAGGGATGATGGAGGGATGATGGAGGAATGATGGAGGGATGATGGAGGAATGATGGAGGGATGATGGAGGGATGATGGAGGGATGATGGAGGAATGATGGAGGGATGATGGAGGGATGATGGAGGAATGATGGAGGGATGATGGAGGGATGATGGAGGAATGATGGAGGGATGATGGAGGGATGATGGAGGAATGATGGAGGGATGATGGAGGAATGATGGAGGAATGATGGAGGGATGATGGAGGGATGATGGAGGAATGATGGAGGGATGATGGAGGGATGATGGAGGAATGATGGAGGGATGATGGAGGGATGATGGAGTGATGGAGGGATGATGGAGGGATGATGGAGGAATGATGGAGGAATGATGGAGGAATGATGGAGGGATGATGGAGGGATGATGGAGGGATGATGGAGGAATGATGGAGGAATGATGGAGGGATGATGGAGGGATGATGGAGGGATGATGGAGTGATGGAGGGATGATGGAGGGATGATGGAGGAATGATGGAGGGAAAACATCTTCCTGTATATCAGATGAATTTTCTGTTTCTCCTTCATTTGCTGCTCAGTTTAAATGCTTTAAATTTCTGGAAACAGAAACAAATTTTCCTTCAGCTGAAAAAATGGAATTAAATATTCCAGATGTTTTTAACACAAAGAAATCCAGGTTCTGCTCTACTAAGCTAAAATCTCTGAATTTTGTATTTTCTGTAAAATTTCTGAATCACAGCAACAGATTGAAAGCTTCGGTGTGAGCGGAGCAACAACACCGTCAGCCGAGTTTGACCACGAAAAGACGGCGAAACAAAAAAGAAGAAACAGCAGGAAGATTTTTACTGCTGAGCAAGAAAAGGAAGGACGGATCACCAAAATGATTTTACTGTTGCAGACAGAAACAAACGCAGCAGAGCAGCGTCTCATGTCTTCACTGCTGGAGCAACAACGGATGAAGAACCGAAGCGCCGCAGCATTTGGCCTGCAGCACATTTACTTTCAGTCTGAGCAGAACCATCCACCAGAACCGAATATTAAACTATAAATATTCAGTTACTTTACTGCTATATTTTTCTCTATGGGACGTTTTATCATAAGATGTTCAAAAAGTTAAATATGTGTAGAGTGGGCGTGTCTCTGCTCCCTGATTGGACAGACACCAGGAAGTCCTGCAGCTGTGGGCGTCCTGGTCTAGGACTGGATGTAGAAACTGGTTAGGTCCAGAAGGATCTGAAGATTTAGCGGGTCAGAACCGTCGTCAAAACGGTGGGAAGAGCAACCAACTGAAGAAGAAGAAGAAACGGTGATGTTGGATATTTTATTCCTAAACGAATTGACTGCATTGATTTTTGTCACATCAGGACATTTTGTATAAAACTTGAAATATTTGTGACCGTTGGACTGAAAACATCTTCAGATTCGTTTCTCTCCGGGTTTAATCCGAAGTCTTTGGGAGTTCATGGAAATAAAAAGAATCTCATTGGTTCCTCCTCCGTCCAATCAGACACTGCGTTGATCCTCCAACTCTACTGTCTGAACTTTGACCCCAGCTTTGAGTTCTGTCCAGTGTGTCCATGAGCAAGGCACAGAATCCCGTGGTGCCAGCAGGGGGCGCTATAAGGCCACCAGCAGCAGGTTTGGATCCTGAATGTTTGTGTGACGCTGCTGAGCAAGGCACTGAGGTGGTCGGTTTCCGGCCGGAGATCCTGCGGGAGCGGATCCGACGACAGGAAGTCATCTTCATCATCACCTTCATCGTCACCTTCGGCCGCTCCGTCCAGCAGCAGCTCGGCGTCTCCGGGGTTAAAGCGGAGGCGACGACTCGAACTTTGGTGGAACCGCCGGCCGACTCGGAGGTCGTCTGCAAACACAGTTTAGCTGCTTAGCATTAGCTTCTGCTAATTTATTTAGTAGTTTAGCGTTAGCGTCTGCTAATTTAATGATTCATTAGTTTAGTGATAGCATTTGCTATTTTATGTATACAGCTATAGCTTTTGCTCGTTTTTTGTGTTTAGCTCTTTACTGTTAGCTTCTGGGAATTTTTATGTTCTAGTGTTAGCTTTCGCTACTTCTGTGTCTAGCGATGTA